AAGTAGTAAGGGCCTCCGTGTGAAAGCACTATGAACAAGGACCAATTAGTAATTGGCATCCAGGTACAAAAAGGTTCTCTTTTTTAAAGAAAGCAGTGAGAATTGAGTCGTAAATCTCTATAAATCCTCTCTGGGCTTTCTTGATTTAGCAGCTGTGTGGACACGGTGGAACAGTGGCTCAGTGTTGAGCAGGGTCGCCTCAGAGCAAGAAGGTCCTGGATTTGAACAGTACGACTCCTAGGGCTGACTGGTGGTGATAGGCATGATAGTAGGTAGCACTCCTGCCTAGGGCTGGACAATATGACCTAAAAATCAAAGTCAGGATTAATTGAATTTTACCTCAGTTATGATTAATGAACGATGTTTGTACTGTAAATATGCTCAACTATTAAAAGGTAGGGTATTTTGACTCTCAAATGTCAAAAATCGATTAAGTAAATGTTACTTGATAACATAATGTTTCACATAACAGAGACATGTTCCCCTATATTTGGCACATCACCGCTGCTGAATGAATGAGCACCACTACTAAAATGTCACACAATCATTAATATCACTGCACAGCTTAACTGATGATTTTCACTCGCACACTGTGTAAGCACGGCAACACTCAAAGCTTGGCTAGCTTCCTCTCCTTAGCTAGGTCTTTTAAGGGTAGCAGAGTGTGTGGGTGAGCGAATGTGAGCGCTCGAGCAAGTAAGTTGTCAGTCTGGGAGTAAATGTACAGTGTAGGTCACAGTGTGTTCGTTAACAAAAGGCTGTCTGTTGTTTCCCCAACTGCTGGAAAGTGAAGGCGGTTAGCGCTAGCAAACGTCTCCCTGTCCTTCCGACTGAAGGCTGAGCATGACTACACAGGCGTATGTTTTTAAGGGCAAAGTACATGAACACACTCAGTGGGAAAATATTAACGGGATTAAATAACAGAAATAACAGAAAATTACGTTGGTAAGAGGTTCTGAATTTCGGTTTTGAATACTTCTAGAATAATCGTGCAGCCTTACTCCTACCATTGTTGTTGACGGAGGCACTTGCTTCAGAACTGGAGAGAGAACAGAGAACAAATATCCCCACAGTGAACAATAAAGTGTAACGTAGCAAAGCCACCATGCACGCACAAAATACGCTTCCTTGAGTTGACGGTTACTGCTTAAAGTTCTGTTCTGTTTTGTTTGAGATTTAAATTCCCATGATGTCCAAGTCTTACAAAACAACGAGCTGGATGGAGAAGCACAAACTAACAGTGTCAAAACACATTAAAATAAGACACACAGACAATCACTCCAGGCCAGCGTGAGGAGAGACATCTGTGTGTGTCACACCATTGTTTCTCCACGAGTCAGCAGAAATTGGACATATTCCACTTCCTCCTATGGCGGGTGTGGGGAGGGGGGTGGGCAAGGAGCAGGGCTGTCTCCATGGAAACTATGTCTTTTCCTGTCGGGTCATATCTCAGACTGAAACAGATGCTGTGAGTAACATACGGACGCATTCAACAGCACACTCGTACAAAGAAGGGAACTGTTGGCGCTAAGCTGAGCAGAGTGTATTGGGTTACTCAATGCTACCAGGCTGAGCTGCTGCAGTCTCCATTATTTCACTCTGTTCAGGCGTTCAAGGTGCCTCTTAAAGCTTTGTACTATCCAAGCACAGGATCTATTTATGAAGTCAACCACATCATAGAATGACTAGAAGTAAAAGCCAACAGCACTTGCAACAAGAAGTCAATTGCAGATCCATTTGGATTTTGTTCAAGCTAACAAAATTGCATTGACGTGCCAGTGTATGTGGAAAAATAGGATTTGGATATTATCCTGAAAACACAAATGAAAGTGGAGTCCAACATTGACATTTGTGTCCTGTAAACGCACTGAAACCTGCTTTGTCTTATCCCTCACAGCATGGGGAAAGACAAAGCAAATGCTGCTTTTAGTTAGTGTTTGTAATGTGTCTGTTCAGAATGTGGTGGATATGTTGTCATTTTTGTGCTGCTTTATAGTTTTAGCCATTAGTGAGGTGGCTGATCCATTTCTTGAGTCCAGCTGTAATTTGGTACTGGGTTCAGAGCTATTGTCTCCTGTGTTGAATGTCATTAAAGGGTTGACATTACCAAGACCTGCTTTTTGGCTCTTTTAATTGCATAATCTATTAGCTGTCAATTATTAAATTAATTGGCAACTATTATGATAATCGATTAATCAGTTTGAGTTTCTGATTACAGCTTCTTTACTGTAAATATTTTCTGGTTTCATTACTCCTCCCATGACAGCAAATTGAATATCTTTGGGTTGTGGACAAAACAAGATATTTGACGACATCATCTTGGGCTTTGGGAAACTGACATTTTTCTGACAACTTATAGACCAAACAACTAATTGATTAACTGAGAAAATAAGCAACAGATTAATCGACAATGAAAATAATTGTTAGTTGCAATATCAAAGATATTCAAGTTTACTGTCATAGAGGAGCAATGAAACCAGAACCTTTTCACATTTAAGAAGACAGATTCAAACCAACTAATTTCCAAAGTAGTTGCTGAATTTCATTGTTAATAACTTATCTATTAATTGCCGCAGCTCTACCCTGGTCATTTAAACACCTAAGCACACCGAGCCAGTGGCGGCAGACTAAGGCCACCTGAAAAGCGCTTTTCGACATTATTCGACAGTCTAAGAATCACTTAATTTGGAGCGGCAGCTTTTATTTGCATTGAATGGAAGTTAAGTGTGATCTCTGCCACATTGTGCTACAATTCAGTCATGTACTCTGCTTATATTATTGTCTACTTATTACCTCATGATGTCATCTGAATTCAACAATGCAGAGAGATATGCAAGCAAACTGAGAACAGAAATAGACCATTAATTCCTTGTCAGAGAACCAATGCAGAAAACAAGAGACTGCAGCTAGGAGATGAAATAAACCTCTGCTGAATACTGGGCTAAATCCTATTTCCTTATCATTAAGCCAGCAGAAACAGTGTGTCCATCCAGTTGAGACACACTGAGTGTGACAGGCTCTGAATCATCTGTAGAGGCCATATATACAGTCTAAGCACACTGCGCCATAGCTTAGGCTTGCTGCTCTATTCTGCTTTCACAGCCTTACCATGTTTCACTTTCCAGCAAAGCTGTTTGTGAGGAGTCAAAGTACAGTGAACAAGGCAGGGCCATGTTATCTTAAAGAGTGACAAACCACGAAAATCACACTACACATTAACACAGACAGCAACAATTACCAACAATACACATACATATACTGAACACACATGCATCTAAGGTTTATGTATTTGTGTTGGCCTTTAGTTGGTTCCAGCCTCAGAAGGAGCAGGGAGCTGGCAAGACTCCCTGGTGGCACTGGCTGACCCACTTCTATGCAACTCTATCTCTAATGTGACCCGTTGGAAAGCCAGAGGACACACACACACACACACACACGGGCAAACACACACACACATATATGCACACACGTGCACACACAACTGAAATTGCCTGCTTGCAAACCCTGGAGGACAGAGAGAAAAACAACGACTAAATGCTGCTGATGGCTATCTCTCTCTCTCATTCTCATCCCTCTCTGTTTTCTGTTTCTCTCACTTTGTCTGAAGATCAACCATTTAAGTCTCTGCTATCTGATCTAGTTAAACTAGTTATCGACATCCGCAGTGAGTTTCTGTGAGCTCTACACTACACTCCAGGCTGCTGGTCTCAAGTAGAAAAGTCAATATAATAATGAAAACAGGCTAAACCTCAGTTTTTTTCAATAAAGAAATGATAAATGGGGCCTACAAAAGTAAGTAATCGCATCCTGCCTGTTTTGAGTTTGACCAGGGACCATTCTTATATGTCATCCCTCATCGCTCCTCACATTTCCTGTCACTCTCAACTATCTAGAAAAGGCTAAAAAACTCTTTAAAATGATGTCATGCTACACATAAAATAGGTGGATCTGTGAGAAGCTAATCTGCTTTCTACTGCACATCCCACACTGGCAAAACCAATTGATGCGAAGTGTGGAGATAAGTCTGTCTGATGTGTGCTGTGATCAGACAACATTATTAAAAACACTTTAGAGAAGTAGCTGGCTGGAAAGCAGTCAGTAAACAGATGTCTTACCGACAGCTGATGTTTGTGCAATGTTTGCTTGTGAGAGGAGGGTTTGATTAAAAACACATCTTTGAAGTAAACAAAATCAAACTGACATTTCGCTGGCTAGAACAGATAACAGAGGACGTGTTGCTACGCTTGTCTCTCTACGACAATATGTATCCATATTAATTCATTTCAAATTTAATTTCAGGGTCAGCTTTTCAAGTTTGGTTGCATTTTGGGCTGCAAGTAACTATTAATTTCATGATCAAAACTTTTTTTTGATGAGTTGTTTGGTCTAGAAAATGACTGACAATAAAAGTGAAATTTGCTCGTTATAAGTTCCCTGAGCCCAAAAGGACGTCTTCAAAGGCTGAAAGTTTCTCACATTAGAGAAACTGGTGCCACAGTTTCACACATCTTTCATGATTGATGATGAATTAACTGCTTCTCAACGTAGCTGTTGATTCAATTTATGTCAATCAAGTAATTGATTAAATGAGCGATTGTTTCAGCACTAGCTGCATTTTTAATCATTTTCACTTTCACTTCACATGCCTGTATGGAGTCTTAAGCAGATTGCTGGTAATCAGATAACAGAACAAAGAGTGGAACTACATCAAGTTCAACTCAAGAGATATTAACTGTGCTTTAGAGCTAAAATTCTAACAGATAAGAATATTTCTCTGCTGCTAATGTCAGGTCTCATTGGCTGTGCAGGCAGAGGCTTAATGTTTCACGGTCTATTTATGTAAGCAATGACAACATAACAAAGCAGGGTGACCTAAGTTTTTGGGGTTGGCTGGTATGGGCTCTTGCATACTGTGTACTAAGTGTGTGTGCACCCATGTGTCTGTTTATGTGTGTGTTTGCTTGTGCGTCTGATCCGGCTCTAGTCTGGAAGGAAGAACAATGGCATTCCTGTGCTCCAAGCTCCAGGTGGCTGTGGAAACCCAATCCCAAACCGAGCCTCGCTGGCACACAGAGTGCCGGGAACGCCGAATGCTGCTGCCTCCCTCCGGAGACATGGGCCAGAATAGAGCTATTGTTCCAGACCAGCTCAGAGCAATAACTGCACCACAGCCACCCTCCATGACAAACACACTCACAAACACCAGAAAGATATCAGGGGGAATATCAGTGATTTTCACCTTTAGATATTTCACTTTCAATTTAAAATACTGAGCAGCAAAATTAAGGAAAAAAAAACTAGTCTGCTCATTACTGACCATGATTAAAAACAAAATAAAACATCTTGGTTTCATTTCTGCACATGCCTTTTAATTGGGAGTTTCATAAAGACAAATTCCAAAGCATGCTATGATGATTATTACCACCTGTATTACCGTTTCACAGTGGTAACCCACACACATTTCTATACGAGCTAAAACCACAGTGATGTACCGATTACTGCACACATTTTATGTTTATACATGCCGAGGGCCCTCATTGATGTCATTCACCTCTTGCTATAAATCTCTGTCCCAAAGATTAGCCAAAATGTTCCCAATTTGCAAAAATCTCAAATCAAACCCTCACAAATTTGGGAGCAGAGGGGCACATACACAAAAGCGGGCACATCTGCTGACGCCGGAACACACAGTCAACAGACACACACAGGGCAGGAAACACATCGAACAGACTCCACAGCCTTGAAATGAGGAACATGATTCATTTCCTTTTCAATGCTGGACAGTCATGCCTTAACACAGGGCTGAGTTTGGTTATTACACAGCTCTGAGGCGAGGTCCTGAACTTGACACACATACACCCCAAGTCTGGAACAACGCATGTGTGGAGAATTGCAAGTCACATGTGCTGTATACATTTCAAGGCAACAACTATATTTTTACAGTACTGACATACGTGGTCAAGAGTCAGTGCTTATTTTATGTAGTTTAGCTGTACCACACAGCTGTTGAAAACATGGGCAATGCCAGCAGCTCATGTTCAGGCACCCCGGGACCCATGCTACAGGTAGCACAAAGGTACGGCAGCCTCCTTCCAGCTACACAGCATATTCCCCTACTACATATGAAAAGGCAATGCCACACAAACAGGGGATAAATAATACATGCTCCTCTTTTCTCTCCCTTTAAGGAACATGGCAGATTAATTTAATTGGCTCCCTGTCAATCCTACAACTTCATCTGTTCTGCAAGCACAAACTCTAGCAGGACTGATAGTGAATCAATTAACTTACTCTTGAAATAATTACAGCATTGTTAATGCATGCTCACTCAGGAGTCCCTCTTTCTCACACACACACACACACACACACACACACACACACAGGGCAGGCCCCACGTGCTTCAACCAAACCTTATAAAAGGTCTGTTCTTGACTGAATTACATGAAATGTAATTAACCTCTGTTCAACAGAGGGGGAGGAGCACAAAAACTACAACCAAACAACGAAGGAATTAGGTTTAATCTGGCCACTAGTTATTTTCCTCCGACACACATCACGCAAAGCTAAATCATTTGACCTCTATCAGGACACAGGAGACACAACAAGCACCAAATAAGGGTTAAATTCCGGGCGAACAGCTCATCTTTCCAGGCGGTGATGGAAAACGGAAGCTCGGAAAGTTCAGATAAATGAAGAAACGTGCATCATGACTAGTAGGATCATTATGCTCAACTTTAAACATGAACTGATTTTAATGTAGTTATATAGGGGTGTTAACGCTGGTCGTTTAGGCTAGGCTATATAACTATCTAAACAATCATTTGGATAGACAGGAAAATTCGCTGCAGTCAAATGCGTAAAGGGTGAGAAAATGTTAACCTGGGCCATTCACGGCAAATCGACATTCAACAGTAAAAGATAACATAAGATTGCTTAGAAAGTATTTATGGGCTGCATTATTGTCGACAAATCTGGCATTCATTCAATTTAACAACCAGTAACGTTATATGCCAGACTGGTTTTGGGAATGCAATTATCGGCGAATTAGCTTGGAAGTAAAGTGACAATTTGTGTGTTTAACGTTGAGCCGCATCACATCCCCGTTGCTTGGCTGCTTCTGTCAACAAGAGCCCTTGTGCCTTCCATAGCGCCTGTCTGCTGCTGCCAGATAACGTTGGTGGCTCACTGCTCAGACACAAACCCGCGGTTTACAGTGTAGCTGAAAAAAAACAACAATTATAATGCAGTGTTTTTCACATATATTTCTCGCTTACCTGGATTGCCGGGGCGCCTCAATCCACCGCTGTGGCGCAACTGACCGCAGGCTAGCTAGGAGGCAGAAAACGGACGCCGATTCGCTACAAAGTATCACAGCTAAATTAGCGGGCTAGCTTAGCTTAGCGAGCTATCGATGGAGGGGGGAGTATGGTTCTCTCTGTGTCGTCGAGGCGAACCAGTTACCTAATAATAAAAAAACAAGCCCAGGATGAGACGTTTCACACGTTGAACGCGACTATAAGAGCACCGTCCAGTGTCAAAAGGCGGTATCAGAGGAGACGTCCATTTGAAAAGACCGTGAATATGACTAACGTTCTGGGTCAGTCGGCTGTAGCGCTATGCGGTGCGTGCTCTCTCTCTCTCTCCGGGCGGACGCGCTGCCTCTGCCTGGCCTGGGTCTGTCTGACTGAGAGAAAGAGAGATAGAGAGAGAGGAGCTTGGCTGCTGATGTGCGGCGCAAACAGAGGCAGCATCGTTGCTCATCCCTCCCTTCATTACCTCAACCCGGAAGAAATACTAAAACTGTTCCCATCCCCTTAATCGTTGTCCAATTTTTTTTCAACTCCATCCATATGCTGTTCTGCCCATCAACGTGGATCTAGTCGGGAGCTGGTCCACAAGCATATTAATTTGTCTTTGGGTTATTAAAACCTATTTGACAGAAAAGCATATACATAACAGAAAGATATTGCCTGAGCTTTGTTTAAGAGTAGGCCTACACTGCAAAAGTTATATTTTATTCCCAACGCCAAGTGTAGACCTAAACATACAGCAGGAATTGAAGGATGTGTCAAAGCAACTTCCAGAATGCAGCATGGTACATAACTATTTTGATCTGCATTTTCAGACTCAGTGTTTATATTCACAGATGGCTCCAAAGATCGTGATAAAGGGCGTGCAGGTGCAGCAGTTTATATTAAGAAAAGATTATCTGATCATGTGTCAGTATATACCACAGAATTGACGGCAATATTACTGGCCCTGCAGTGGATAGAAGAGAGGGAAACAAATAATATTGTTATTGCATCTGATAGCTTGTCTGCACTTATGAGTATCAAATCTGGCAAATCATCATTTAGATAATATCATCAATGACATATTCATTATATTGTACAGGATAGAGCTAAAAGGTTTATCCACATGCTTTCTTTGGGTTCCTGCTCATGTTGGTGTGGTGGGAAATGAGCAGGTGGATATCCTGGCCTAAGGAACACTCAAAATCAAACATGTAGGCTATACCTAAAGACCCCATTAACTAAAGATGAAGCTAAGACATTTATCAGGACATATGCAGTATGGCAGGAGCATTGGGACAACAGTGAAACTGGAAGGCATTTATATAATGTATAGAGGGATGAAAATTTAATCACTCGTCTGAGAATAGGACATACAGGTCTCAACCATTCATTATATAAAATAGGCAAGCACCCAACTGGGAAATGTATAGCCTATATTGTAACCAATCAGAAACAGTTGAACATGTTCTCCTTCAGTGTAGGAGATACACTATCAAGAGGGATCGCCTCTTTCAGTCATTATGCAAGGCAAAGCATCCTGATGTCTCATTGTCAGGTCTCTTGGGGAAAACCACAGGCAAGATATATTGTTATATCATTAGTTAGTTAGTTTTGTGTATAGTTTCTTAAAGACACTGATTTAGATAAAATAATTAAATTAGTTTTTTTTCCCTGTTTTGTTTATTCATTTTATTTATTTTTCTGCTTAAACGCTTGTTGCACTCACCAGTCCAGTTGGTGGTAGTAATGCACCATTAAACTGGTTTGCCAACCATCAATAAACATAAAAGAAGAAGGAGTAACGTTTCAAAATGTAACACAAATCACACCAATGACCAAGTCAGAATTTAAAAATCAAACAGCAAACAGTCATATAGTGTAGTGTAATAGTAATTCCAAAGCACCCTTGTAACCTTTTATTAGTATGTCTAGATCTACTCCATATGAAGAGTGCAATAAGATAACTTTTGTTATGAATTCGCACTTTTTTAATAAAACTGAATTGAATTAACCCCTACAGTCTATCTTGCTGCTGCTTCACATTTATAAGACAGGAGTTTCAACTTGAACTTCCTGTTCTATAACTTTCATTGTTTTACATGAGAAAAAAACTATTTAAATGAGAGTGATGTGGCCTAAGTGTTGCTAAAGAGAAAGATGAACCACATGGGTAACAGAGCAATAAAATAATTTAAGACAAATCATTCAGTAAATCATCCAAGTGAATTAAAGATCAATGTCATCCACCTTTTTGCATGAGTAGGCAGTAGTAAGTATTCGTATAGGCCTATAACTATTGGCTAAAACTGGCCCAGTTTATCCTGTCTTAACCAAACAAAGAAAATCTTATCAACACTTTGACCCACAGGGAAGCTGCTGCTTTTCATGCAGAAAACAGGAATTTCCAGCACACACACTAAACATCACAAAAACATGTCTTCTGGTCTTGTAGCCTTATGAACTGGTAGCACACCAACTTGTGTGAAATAGAAGAACAAGGCATGCTAATGAAAGCTTTTGTTACTTCTCCCATTCAGAGCAAACACACATTCAAACCAAAGTGTTTCAAAGTTTTGCGCATTCTTTCAGAGCCAAAGCCAACACCTGTCTGATTCCAACACCAACAATCTGGTCGATCACTTCAATCATATCTGCTTGTCGTCACTAAATATTACTGTTCCTCTAAAGGTTAGGCCTACGTCTAAAGCTAGTAAGCAACCCTGGATAAATGACAGCATTCGCAGCCTAAAAAGGGAATGCAGGAAAGCAGAGCGCAGATGGAAAATATCCAGTCTCCAAGTCCATTACCTCAGTCTGAAGGATTTATTAATTAACTACAATAACATGGTTAAGGATGCGAGAACACATTATTTTTCTGAACTCATTATTACACATAAACAAAATCCCAGGTTTCTGTTTAAGACTGTGGATCAGCTGGTAAACCCAACCCCTCCTTGTGCCTCAGCTGGAAGTAATCATGACTGTGAATTGTTTTTAATCTTATTTTACCAATAAGGTGGTGTCAATCAGAGGCTCTATTACCCCCACAGCCTCTTACTCAGAGGTCCCTCACCAGCAACAAGAGAGTTTTAACCAGTTTTATCCCATCGACTTGTCTGAGCTTTTAAAAATAGTATCACAAATGAGAGTGTCCTCCAGCCCACTTGATGTAATACCTACAAAGTTTTTACCAAAAGTAATGGATTCTGTTGGGCCCCATTTGATCTCTGTTTTTAACAGCTCCCTATCTACTGGTTGTGTCCATGATTATTTTAAAACGGCCTGTGTGAACCCACTTTTAAAGAAACCTGGTTTAGATCCCTCCCTCCATCAAAATTTTAGACCAATTTCAAAACTACCTTTTATTGCAAAGATTTTAGAAAGAATTGTGTCCAAACAGCTGCTCATTGTACTGGAAAATAACAAATTATTTGAAAAGTTTCAGTCTGGTTTTAGGAAGTACCACAGCACTGAGACTGCCCTGCTTAAAGTCACCAATGACATTTTAATGTCTGCTGATGAAGGCATGTGCTCAGTCCTGTTACTCCTGGACCTTAGCGCTGCTTTTGACACCATTGATCACAACATCATGTTAGACAGACTGAGGCACTGAGTGGGGATCTCTGGTACTGCCCTAGAATGGTTTTTCAATTCAGTTCAGTTCAATTTTATTTATATAGCGCCAAATCACAACAACAGTTATCTCACAGCGCTTTTCATAATCTAGACCATACTCTATGATGCTATTTACAGAAGCCCAACAGTTCCCACCAAGAGCAAGCACTAGGCGACAGAGGAAAGGAAAAACTTCCTTTTAAGAGGCAGAAACCTCGAGCAGAACCATAGCTCAGGGTGGGCGGCCATCTGCCTCAACCGGTTGGGGTGAAGGAGAGAGAGGGAGAGAGAGAGAGAGAGTGCAGGAGAGGAACAGAGAGAAAAAGAGAGGGATGGAAGGAGAGAGAGAGGGGAGGGAGGCAGCCTACACAATATGCACACAGATGTACAGACAGTAAAGGTGATGTTGCTATAGACTAAATGAAAAATGGTACCGATATTTATAGTAGTGTTAATGGTAATAGTCGTAATGTTAATGATTGTAATAACAATAGGACTATTAACAATAGTCGTTGCAGCAGAGGGTGTCGAGAAGGAACACGCGGGCAGCAGGTGACCCGCAGCCACAGATCCAGACTCCACAGCTCCAGAGCCAGAAAACCTGCAGGAAGTGATAGGAGGAGAGAGGAGAGGGACGAGAAAGCACAAGACTACCGGAAAGGGGAGAAGTTGTGTTAGTAACATACAATAATGGGATGAGGTTGCATACAGAGGGAGAAAAAGTAGAGGAGAGAGGAGCTCAGTGCATCATAGGAAATCCCCCGGCAGTCTAGGCCTATAGCAGCATAACTAAGGGATGGTTCAGGACTCACCTGAGCCAGCCTTAAGTCTTAAGCCTACTCTTAAATGTGGAGATGGTGTCTGCCTCCTGAACCCAAACTGGAATCTGGTTCCACAGGAGAGGAGCTTGATAGCTGAACGCTCTGACTCCTAGTCTACTTTTAGAGACTCTAGGAACCACAAGTAACCCTGCATTCTGGGAGCGCAGTGCTCTGGTGGGGTAGTAAGGTACTATGAGCTCTTTAAGATAAGATGGTGCCTGACCATTAAGAGCTTTGTAGGTAAGAAGAATGATTTTAAATTCTATTCTGGATTTTACTGGAAAACAATGCAAAGAAGCTAAGACAGGAGAAATATGATCTCTTTTCCTGGTTCCTGTCAGAACACGTGCTGCAGCATTCTGGATCAGCTGAAGAGTCTTAACGGACTTTTTCGAGCAGCCTGATAATAAGGAATTGCAGTAATCCAGCCTAGAAGTAACAAATGCATGGACTAGTTTTTCTGCATCATTTTTAGACTGTATGTTCCTGATTTTCGCAATATTACGTAGGTGAAAAAAGGCGGTCCTTGAAATTTGCTTAATGTGAGACTTAAACGACATGTCCTGATCAAAGATAACTCCAAGATTCCTCACAGTGGTGCTGGAGGCCAGGGCGATGCCATCAAGGGAAACTATATCTTTAGATAATGCGTCACGGAGGTGCTTAGGCCCCAGAACAATAACTTCAGTTTTATCTGAGTTTAACATTAGAAAATTACAGGTCATCCAGGTTTTAATATCCTGAAGGCACATTTGAAGTTTAGCTAACTGATGAGTTTCATCTGCTTTGATCGATAGATATAACTGAGTATCATCTGCATAACAATGAAAGCTTATGGAATATTTCCTGATAATATTGCCTAAAGGAAGCATATATAAAGTGAAGAGGATTGGTCCGAGGACAGATCCTTGAGGAACTCCATGACTAACTTTGGCGTGCATGGAGGACTCATCGTTAACATGTACAAACTGAAATCGATCTGATAAATAGGACTTAAACCAGCTTAGAGCGGTTCCTTTAA